TGTAGGGATGCGAGGTCAATGGTCTAACGACTACGGCATGCACGACTATGAGTACACCCCCCCCCCCCCCCCCCCCCCCCCCCTAGAAGGTATTGCCCGGTCTGCAAAACCTTTTATAATGAGGGAAGATAGATGCCGTCTACTAGACGCCCATGCAACACAAACACTGATGATGGTAAAGAAGACGGAATGTGTCAAGACGTACATACTACTACTGTATCAGGCTATTTCAACTTAAGAATGCATAACCACTTTGACTGGGTGAGTAGTCTAATGCCGAACGGGACTTACGATCATGGATCGTCGCTTTGTTTGCACAGCGGAGGACGGACGGTCGAGGGGATCTCGCGGACGCTAGCCAGCCATGTCATTGGCTCCGCACGAGACCTTGGGCTCCCGTACCGTCGAGGCCGAGCCGCAGCTGGAAGAAGACGAGGTCAAGCCGTCACAACAAGAGGAGGGTCATTTTTTCGAGGCTGCAGCAGCAACGAGGAAAGGCAAGTGCATATTTCTACGACCACTTGGGCCCTAGACTACCACTCGAAAGCCCGCGGTATTCACTCCTTGTCGCGTGGAGCTTTAGTGGCGCACCATCACTCCATTCTGATACCGAAGCACTCGAGTAATAATGGGGTACTGAAGAGTCATACAAGCAGCACTTGACTGTTCTCCGAGAATAAGTGCCGTCCAACCCTACCAACACCTCTGCACACCCGGCATTTCATCTTTGCCCCATGCCGTGAAAAGGCCAGGTCCACCCTCTTTCGTTTCGCCCTCCGAAGCGGACGGCATGGCGGTTGACACGGTACAGGACGGCATGGACAACTCGTCGGATGATCCTACCGGAAAACTGTCACCGCGATCACCGATCCCAAACGCGGAAAAAGTACCCCCTCGATTGGCGGACGACGAGATAGAATCTCTACCACCCACTCGACTGGGGGACCTGACGCTCCCGCTGCTGGAATCGTATGACCCAACCAGGTCGCCGCCGGTATGCCTTCCGCCCTCCGCCTCAACCGGGTACACCGATGAAGTCGACGCGGTCAGCCCAGCCGGTAGCGCAACTTCTCCAACCAGCAGCAGACACAAGGTCCACGAAACGCTCGCGTTTTCGGACGTGGGGCCAGAGGGAGCAGGCGCACCAAGGGGTAAAGAGGGTCAACATGTTGCTGCTATTTCGCCGCCCGCACACACGTTGCTCCACCTTCCGCGCGGGAGGCCCGCGCCGTTTTTCGTCGACAGTTACGAGGAGCCCGCCAACGAGATAAAGGCTTGATGACGGGACAGTGTTGAGTTCCACGCGATTTCGATATTAGGTTGCTTTTGGGTGACGCTTTTTACCCCCACACCTACCCCCAACCTTATACCCGTCTCCGAATTCGGACGACGATACGAATGACACCAGTCGTGCTTAGCGTCCACCTTTTTGTAAGTATTCTCTACTGAAGGTGAAGCACGTCCCATCAAAAGGGCGGGCAGGCCCACGAGAAAATAATGTGTGGGTATCTGAGAGGGTCATTAACTAAGTTGCGCTTGCGATTGGCCATCCACATCATCGTTTACCATAGTCCATTGAGCGTTGAGCACGAAAAGCCAGCTGAATTGTTGTAAACCTAGAAGAACGAATTGGCGTTCGCGTTGCGACCCTTCCTGCTTGCGAGGGAACCACACGTAGTCTCTTGAACACGCTAGGACAGTAGGAAAAACGTGCTGTGTTGTGTTTGAGTTTCCTTTGTCAAATGTTGCTTGAGAGCTTCGATCGACGATCCCGAACAATTTACCTCCTGGGTGTTGCGTCAGTGCCATGGTGAAGCTGCTGAGAAGCTTGCAGTTCGTTCTGTGGTTTCACAGAGATTGTGGGCGTTTATTGCCGACATGCCGCGGGGTGCAGAGTGCCGAGATCGGGAGGTGTAGACTATTTGGTTAATTTTGGGGGGGAACTCTGACGGTGTATTCCATTGGTAGAAAAACTCTATCGAGCTGATCGGATGAACGTATCCTCGCGATTTTCTGAATGTATTGCTTAGCTGAATCTTCATTATGTGGTATTTTGCGATATTTCTTCCCCTTGCTAGGTGCCCTGTCCTATAGCACGAAGTTTGGGTGGAAGGTTTGACCATCCGTACCGGTGCTTGTCGGGGGATTTGGTCTTGCTTTGGGCATTCGTCGGGGCCCTTGAACATTGTTACACTACTGTAGCTCGTGATTATTCGTTTTTTTATTAAAGCCCGGGGATAACCCCAGCCTCATCTCAAGTCAACTTTGTTTGGCTAGTAGGGAGGGAGCAATACATTTGGCTGAGTAGGGGCGTGGCCAGGGGAAGAGAGAGAACGTTTGTTCGTGCGGAGTATGGCGCGAAGTGGCCGGACGTATCACGAGGAGCGGCAGCAACAGCAGCGGACACAACCACGCGGCAACCCCGCTCGTTCTTCCTCTGCGCAGAGGGCGAGGGGAGTCTCCGTCTCTGTCTCACTCTCCATGAAGAGAAACGATGGTGTATGGACCTGTACCGCAGCATCCGAGTGTCGAACTTTCGGACTTCCCGCGGGAACCTCGCCCGAGGGATGTTGATTGACGGTGTAAGCATAAAAAAAAAATGTATCTGATTTGTTTTCCATGCAGTCGTTGCAGAGTGGCCACTCCTATTCTTGCGTCAACGAAGCGCAACGTGTAGAAAGAAAGGAGACGGTAGCCACCTTCCTGCCTCCTCCGATTCAGAAAACAGGGCGGCGTATCAAAGAACACGACTGGCGTGTGTTTCCACTTCTATTCCCCACTGCTTTTGTACTGACGACCGGGCTTTCTGGAGGGGGGTGACTACAACTGACAGATATAACTCGCTAGTCGACAACAACAAAGCAACGTCAGAATTAATCGGAGGCGTACACCAGTCCAACATTTGTATGCATACCACCGCCACGACGTATGATGTATGTATGCGTACTTGCGACCGTACGATGAAGGATGTGTTTATTGTGTTGGCTCACTGATTGGACCCAAGCGCAGGCCTCTAGGTTTCCTTTTCGCCGAGTAAGCCGTCCCTTCGACATTTGTGTCTGTTTGCACACCCGCCCCGGGTGTGGGACGGTCCGGGTACGTGAAGTTAGAGAGTCAAGGTTGCTTCGTAGCACTATCTCCGGAGTTCCAAGAGCCAGTTTGTTTCAGTCCCAGCAGAAACTCAAATATTAGGAGACTGACGATAAACTCAAGTCTGAGCAGGCTTGAGCGAAAGACGCAAGACAATATAACCACAACAACGGACAGGCAGGTCCGCCGGATCGCCGGGAGGATCGTCAACACCAAAAATTTAGAGCCGGCGATAGGCCCGAGCTTTGCAAGGACAGAGCAACCCCCGCCGTCGCTGATTTTCTCTGTTCACCGTGGAGTTTGGTTGGAAAGCAAACCCACCGAAGATGAGAACAGGCTGCATTGAACACAGAGTTCCGGCAAATGTTCACGGCGTGTCAAGAGTGCCGCAGGAACGAAACGGCCACGTGATATCCCCCTTTGCTCATCGCGACGATGCTATAGGCCACCTTCAGTCGAAGATAATAGCCATGTTGCTTCCTTCGGCACAGATGAACATGACTCATCTTGCGTAACGCGCGGCAGTAGTTGCTTGTCTTGTCCTTGTAGAAACGTGAGGCGAACAGCAATCGCAAGAAGGCCTCACCCACCGTAGAAGATTCGTCGTGATCGATGGGCTACGTGTGGGCCACAACGTCAGCCACGTGCTTGCTGTTCGTCACTGTCCGTACCCTCAACAACTCCATAAACAAGTTTCATGCATGTACACATCCAAACGGGAAAGCCAACCACCCCGATGTGCCAAAAACGATAGGTGCCCTCTCACCGAGCGCATCTCTCTCAATGCAACAATTTACACCTTGACCAGCAAGAAGGAGGAAGACAACACTGGACAACAAGGAGTCAAGCGACGAGTATCTCGAGACCCAAGCGATGGAATCAAACTCCGTTTACGCTGGATCCGTCATTCCCTCGCCTAGCTTTCCCCAAGATGTCATGTTTGTCGTCTCCCTCCTTTGTACCGCCAGTCTCGACCCGATCCCAAAGACTAACAATCGCCACGTACGCCGCTTGACCACTCGCCGAAGCTCTGCAGCTTCGAATGCACTATTGCAAGGGCTCGGCCTTACCTAGCCCCCCAAGCCGTCCCTACTCGCCTCGCCAGGCGGACATTGGTCGCGACGCAAGGCGGAACGGTTGGACCAACCAAGAGAGGAAAAGCCCACGGAAACAAAGAGAGGGCTGTTGGCTCATCCGTCGTTGCGCGACCCGGCCTGATGGTCGTGTGACACGGTGTGCCTCGCGTGTGTGCACGCAGAGCAGAGCGACAATGCACCAAGTCCACTCCCCCCCTATCGCGGTCACACAAGCAACTCCCTGCAGGGCTATGGTGCGCAGCTCCACAATACCCCCGTACACCTTTAGCTTCGCGGCGCGTGCCCCTCGACACTTTCAGTGGTCTAGGAACGGTCAACCACTTCGAGGAACGGTCCCTGGGTCCTAGTCGACGATATGATTGGTCTACGAAGAGTCCAAGAACTTCTGGATTTGGTCGACCAGGGCCTGCACCTCGCGGGGGTCCTCGCAGCGGCCCTGGCCGCGGGTCTTCTTGCTGTGCAGCAGCTCCCCGGTGTTGCGCAGCACCACCTCGAAGCGCCCGGTGACCCCGGGGTCCTCGGTCTGGATGAAGCGGATGCGGTCGCCGAACACCGCCTCCAGCTGGGGCGTCAGGCGGTTGTAGAACCGTACGTAGCCTCATCCTCCGCAATACATGATCTGTCGGGTTGTTCGTTTGTGCGGTACGGCATTGAGCAATAATGGAAGGGTTTGTAGAGATGCGTGCGGTGAAGTGGAGAGCAACCATCAACTGTTCTAACCTTCCGTGTTGCTTGTGACACGTGCGCTTGAGATGCCACGTTTCATTGGTTGCCGGAAATGTCGAACCAGAAGGTGACGAGAGTGCGTTCGTACGGTCGAGGAGCTTCGTGCCGTCTTCGCAATCGATTCGTCGGAAGTTGCGTGGTGTTCTCGGCTGAACGCAGGCAACGTCCAGCGCCGATTCCCGACGCCCTCCCAAGTGGCCAAGAGCTGCGCTTTGTCCGAACGAGACATGCCCCTCCAAGTGGTGGTGGTGGAGGTGCAGCACACGGGACGGTTTTCGAACCACCGGAGTTTCGGAACGCCGCGGGCTTGCTGACGCTTGCGTGGTTCAACGACGCATGCTCGAAGATGAACCGGTCTCACAAACGCGGGCTCATGCTACTGGTCTTATAGCTTGTGAGTTGCTCTACCGCGCATCATCAGTTCGGGTGTTGTTGTTTTTTTTCTCCCATCATTGGACTCCCCCCCCCCCCCC